TCCATCTTGCCGCGCTCCTTCTCGACGATCGGGTTGACGTGCACGGGCACAGTTACGGCCGTCAACCTAGTCGACAGATGAGTCAGAGTTATGTTGAAGACGAATGACGTACTTTTCATTCGGGTCTTCGGGCACCTTGTGCAAGCTGTCGTTGGCGCGGGCCGACTCGAGCGCTGCAATCAATGGCGCGGCGCTGGTACCACCGACCGACGACCGCGCCGAGGGCGGCGGGACAAAGCCCGCGGACGCGCCGGCAATGCTCTGGCGCTGCATGAAGCTCTGGTTGAACTGCTGCGGGTTGATGGGCACGAACGAGTCGTTCGCGCGGTTCATGTCGGGCTTGAGCTGGTTCCCACCGAGGAAGCCCGTGCCCGACCAGCGGTAGTTGGCCGAGAGGCTCATCGAGGCTACGTTGGGTTTAGGGCGCTGGAACATGCCGCCGCCGGCCCTACCATCGGCAGAGCGCGGCTGTTCCGTGATGTTTTGGCCAAAGCCATTGACGTAGGCGACAAACGTTTTGAGCGACTGCGACTCGATCGATGTGACGTGGAACGCAACGACGTCGGGCGACTGCACCACGAGCTTCATGTACGCCTCGAGCTCGACGCGGCGCGCGTCCAGGAACGACGGCTGCAAATGCGTGCGGAAGAACGTTCGGCGCCGGTGCAGTGACGGAAACTTGATGCCCTTCATGTGGTTTGCATTGCGCTTCCGGAGCTGCTGGTCGAGCGACCGGAACATCGAGAAGGTGCGCCACACACTCCATGTGCTCGTGCAGCGGGACCGCGTCCGCTCTGAGAAGAAGCTCACGCGCACGACCACTTGGTACTCGGCCTTGGTCGTGATGCGCACGTCCTCGACCGTCACGTCGCATGCATACGGCTTGGAAGCGTCGATCTCGTCGCTGTGCATGGCAAAGTCTCGCGATAAATAAGCTCTGAGCGAGGGAAGCGTTTCCATCGAATCCGGCCCGTCTGATAGGGCATGCATACAAACATCCATAGTCGCACGGCGAAGGTGCGAAAATATCGGCTAAGTGCGCTATAGACACACGTCAGGTGCGGGGTTATAGCGCACTTAATCGGACGAGGACGCTCAATCGTTCGAAAGCGCCGGACCGCCTCTCGGTAAACCTCGCTATTTTGACCAATCAGACGCGCCAACGCCGCGATACTCACAGTCGTGACAGCGCGCCACGCCATGGCCATCGGCGCGGTCGGCGCGAAAGGGCCGCGACGCAGTCGGGCGCGGCACTCTTTTGGCGGCCATGACGCGCTGTGCGTCCGAGGCCCCACGTGGCCGCGGCGAACACGATCGCTACGTGCGTGTGTAGAGGCGACGAGTGTGACTCGCGCGCGTCACTCACAGAGCGACTAACGTCACTCATTTTCCACGGACCGGACGCGACTATCCGGCGCTGCGACATCCACGAGGGCCTGCGGAAGAAAGAAGCGGCGGTGCAATGAGGGGTCGACGACCTCAAGTAGCTGCTTCCGAGGTCATGCCGTTGTACAGTGCAGGTAGCGCGGAGGATGTGGCTCGGTAATGCAAGCGTCGGGTACCCAAGAAGCTACAGCAGTGCAAGCACCCAACACAAGATCGCGTAAAGACGACGGCGCTTGAGCATCGCACCAAGCACGCATCTTTGATAGCCAGAGAAGAGGCAGCACCGCCACGGGCATGTCTCCTCGCAGAGCCTATAGCCGAGCTGTAGACGGCGTTGCACTGTGCATCGCTAGGCCTCTGTTCTAGGGCAGTGTCGACTTGCGGTAGGCGTAGCTTGCTGCAGTGTCACGTTCACCAGCGGAAGTACAAGTCACATTCGTACCCAGCATGACTAGAACGTACACTACGGGACGCCCCTGTCGAGTTCAGAAGACATCGCTCCGAGCTACGAGCCATGCGCTTCCTCTCGCCGCTTGAATTGGGTTCTGTCGACTGCGCCGATCGGGACTTGCCCAACATCGGCGACATAGATGCCACGTATGCCCTCCTTCCAGAGGTGGGTCGCGTGCGATTGGCCAATAATGCAGGCGATCGGCGTCGGATTGGTACAAAAGGATGCATGTCACGCGGTGATTGGTGCAAAGGACCAAGATTTCGGCAGCTTGGTCGCCATTTCTCAAAATGGGTCGTCCAGCGCCGTCCAAGGGCGCTGCTTGGGGGAAGCACTACTTCATCCTTGGCAGCATCGCGCTCCTCGCGCTCTGTGGCTACCTCAATGCGACCTTCTACATCCAGAACCAGTCGACGTCGCAGCTGCGCCACCATACCAGCGGCGGCTACCACAAGGCGACGGCCGAGATCCCGCACCTCGTCTTCACGTCGACGTGCGCCAAGCGCGACGTGGTCCGCGCCAAAGTGTTTGCCTTTACGCTCCGCGACGTCGGCTACAAGGGTCAGGTCACACATATCCTGCACAACTGCGGGTCGCCCGAGTACCATGGGATCTCGAGCAAGGCCAATCCGTACAACGTCACGTACTTTCACGCGACTGCCGTCAAGGGCTCGACCGCCAAGGAGCTCAACCCGACCGCGCTTCTCGCATGGTAGACCGCTTGCATATCTGCATGCCGTGCGCTGAGGCAAGCGCGTAGGCTCGACACGGTGACGTTGCCGCCCAACGAATTTGTCGCGATCTTTGAGGTCGACACGATCTTTACGCGGTCGCTCGACCTGCCGACCTTGCTCGCCGGCGCCAACACGATTGAGAACCCGACCGCTGTCGCCCAGGTATGTCTTCTAATTGCTATCTTCCGTCGCCGACATCGCACTTGTAGGATGCCGCTTGGTACGACGCCGACGAGCCGGCCAAGATCATGCCCGTCGAGCTCCTCGAGAAGGCGGTGGGCGTCTCTTCCAAGGCGCTGCAGGTCGAGGACTGGCGCGACTTTGCAGTGCACGCGCCGCTCGTGCTCCACGCCAAGCACATTGGTCCCGTGTTTGACCGCGTCGTCGCGATCGCGCCGCAGCTCGATGCCAAGCACAAGCACTTGGCGTACGCCCTCGCGAGCGCCGAAGTCGACTTGCGCCACGGCGTCACGGGCAGCCTCCGCCTCTCGCGCTACAACTCGTTTGCGGAGAACTGGAACTTTGTCGACGTGACGCGATACAACCCTGCGAACGCGACCATTTCGCCGTCGTTGCCGGTACATTTGGTCTCTTTCTATATGGTATTGACTCGTAGGCGTCGAGCGTAGGAGTACCCGATCTACCCGTTCTCGCTGCGCACGGCGACGCTCAGCTTGCCGCTCTGGGCCGGCGGGAAGGGCTTCAACATGATCGACACGCTCGTGCCACTCGACTTTTTCGACTGCAACGCGTGGCTCCTCGAGCCGCTCCCGCTCTCCATGTGGTACTATGCACAAAACACCTTTGGGTGGGAAGGCCTCTCGACGATCCTTCGGACGCGCCACACGGTCGCCGTCGCCGCCGCCTATAGCGCGTACAACCGCGCCGCGCTCGACCACAAGCGCCGCAGCTGCAAGGCAGGCTACAATGAGAACGCGCGGCTTTCGCTTCTTCCTGAGAATCCTCTCTCGTCAGCCATTTCCAAGGCCGCGCACCTCAGCGGCAACGAGCCCGCGACAGTACGCTTTTCCCTATTGCTCGGTTTTCGACTCGATAGATTGATATGATTCGATGTAGCCGACGCACCACGATGCGCTCCACTTTGTCTTTGCGTCGGGCTGCGCGGCGTCGGACCATGTGACTGCCGACTTGCTTTCGCAGTCGTTTGCGCGCGTCCAGCAACCCGGTCAACTCACGCGCCTTGTTTCGGGCTGCACGACCGCAGAGCAAGTGGCGCAGGTACATATACTTTTCCATGCCTCCAAGTTCTGAGTGCCACGTGGCATTAGGTACGCACGCGTACGGCACGCGCCATGACTGTGCACTTTATCCCAACGCCCATGACGACTATCAATGCGTTCGACGACTGGCTCGCCAAGTCCAACGTGCCGCTCGCCGCCGATGCGATCGTGGTGCTTCTCGCGTCCGACTTTGTGTTTTTGCGCGCGTTCCAACCGGACGGGGACATTCCAATTGTCTCAACGCTGGCGTACGTCTCTTGCGATCTGCATACCTCGAGGTCCTCATGGTCGATTCTAGGATGGACCCGGAAGAGCAAGACGAGACGCTGTTCGAGGTCCTCAACGGCTTCAAGCAGGCCAAGCCCGTCTTCCTCAACACGGTGGGCGCTGCGACAGCAACCAAGCAGCTCGGCGGCTTTACCGTCAAGGACAACATTGTGCTGGCGCAGAACCAGAACGCGCACTTGCAGCTCTCGGCCGCGGACGCTGCCGCGCTCTGTCCCGACTGCAAGGTCTCGGATCCCGCCGAGCAGCTCAACATTGGGTTTCCGTACGTTGTGACGATGAAGACGCTCAAGACGATCATCAACGATGCAACCTCGCTCGCTGCCGCGTACGTCAAGCGCCAGCCGGGCGCCGGTGGTGTCGCGTCGGCCGCGGGGCTCAACCTCGCGCTCCGGAAACATACGATTGACGTCTTGCGCCTGGACAACCTCCTCTTGGACGCGGCGTCGAGCGGCCCCGAGTGGCTCTTTGCGACCGCGCGCATCAAGGTCAACAGCTTCACGACCAAGCACAAGCTCGAAAACCCGTGCGCGGACAAGCTCCTCGTCCCCGGGCCCGCGCCTTGGTTCCTCCGCGCCCAAGGGTTTGTGCACGAGCAGTGGCGCTTTGACGCGACGCTCTTGCCCGACAACGTCTTTGCGTGCGACATGTGGCTCCTCAGCGAGCCCGGCGCCGAGGTGTGGGCGCAGGCGCTCGCGACGAAGGACGACGCTGTCATGCGCCACACGTACGGCATTTGCACGGGCATCAAGACGTTCAATGCGCTGCTGGAAGACGCAAGACGCGATGCGTGTCGCGCAGGCTACAACCGCAACAAGCAGCTGCAACTCGTCTCGCCGCGCGGCGACGCCATTATTCGCGTTGGCCATCAGTCGACCGTCTAAGTTGCTAGAAAGACTCGACGATAGTAGAAGTGGTGGTGCGGGTGTGTCCATGCACCGTGATTCACTGTTCCGGCGTTGCGCTGTGTCGACGGCCCAATCACAAACGAACGTGATTGAAGTTCCTAGTTTCCAAGCGCACTATACAGGATGAGCGCTTAGTCGGTCGAGACCTTGACGAAGCGCCGCGCTCGCCGAAGACGCAGCTCGTAGACGTGCAAGATGGCGTACATGGCGAGCGGCAGCATCGTGAGGGCGACAGCGACCGTCACAACCTACGCAGCATGATGTACTAGGCTGCATGTGTTTAGTTAGTCGTACGGTCTTGTACTCGTCGGGCACTTCAATCTGCAGGTAGTAGATGCCGACGCCAATCGCCGCCCAGAAGAGGAGCACGAGTACTAGGTCGAAAAAGTCGGACGTGTAGAAGCGCCGCACCCACGGTACGTGCGGCTCGGGCGTCGCCACCATCTCCATGCGGTAGCGTCCGCGGGGTAGCGTCGCTGGCCGTGCCGCCTTGGTACTCGTCGTCGTCGACTTGGTTGGTTTCTTCGACCAGAAACGGCCCACGCGTCGCTGCTTGGTCGGCGCCGGTGCACGCAAGACGTCGACGTCGAGGACGTTGGCCTCGTTGTCCGACTCGGAGCAGCTCGCTTCGTCAATCCAATCGTCGCCAGCTACGGCGGCCGGTGCCAGAGTCGTCGCCATCCTGCGAAAGGTCAGTTTTGAAACGGTGTTAAGCTGACGTCGTCGGTGGCCATGGACACCAGTACTAGCTGCGTCGGTGGCTGCGTCGGTGGCCATCGGCGCGGCGCCACGCCGTCATCCGTGTGATTACACGTGCTCGTCGCGCAGGATCGCGAGATCGTGGTCATTTGGACCAATCCACGGCCGCTGGCGCGCATTTCTACCAATCACAAATGCAGAAGTGGCAGGCGCCCGTGTGATTGGTTATATCTCGCTGTCGGGTTTCGGGCCAATCGCAGACGGTCAGTGTGGAAAAGCCAACGTGACAAAGAACCTTCCAAGATGCACTCGTCGCTGGACCGCCCGCACCCCGAGTGCCAAGAGGTACGATCAGATCGTAGTTGGAGCCGCCGAGCCTCATGGATGGACGCTGCTAGATTGTCGATGCGCTGCGCATCTGCCATGAAGAGAACCCGTTTCTCAAGTTCGGCGGCGCCTGCAACGACATCAAGGCCGCCTTGAACCAGTGCTTTGCCAAGGAGACCCACCACCGCCGTAAGATCAACCTCGAGAAGGCGCGCAAGTTCAACAAGATCTACGAGGAAGACAAAGACGAGCGTCGGAAGGCGGCGTCGTCGGCCTAAGTGCCCGTGACCCCATTAGAGTTTATAGAATCAACCCGTGACGTTGCTTGCTTGACATGCTTCTCTGTCAACAATGCGCTAGATGATGTGTTGCTCGCTGCGAAGTCAATCGGCCAACTAAGGACGTGGACAGCAGCCAAGCGGTAGGACCAAGCCTTTGGCTCGCACACATGAGGAGCGTAAACACGACTTTGCTCCAGAACCATCGCATGACGACTGGGACCTGTAGCTCAACTAGTCCGCCAACGCTACCGCTCTACCCCAAGTCGTCAAGCCGCCGACGTTGAAGCTCTCTTTGGCAAGCAAGTGCGTCAAAGGTCGTGATGCTGTCGCTGCATACTGGACTGTCCGTGGTTGCGAAGGCTTCGTTCGACGCCGCCATGATGGTTCCAGCCTGCGACATCTAACACGTTCTAACACGTCTCGAAGCCGTGACGCGTTATAACGACACCTTGGTGCGGCCAATCGGAAGCCACGGTTTCCAGCGACCGTATCTTCGGTCGGGCGAAGCGGCGCCATGCCTCAAGTCCACGTTCTGGGCGAGCTCGTCGGCGGCGCGCAGTACGATCGGCAGAGCTTGTACTGCATTTGGCGGCTCGTCAAGGACGACCACTACTGGAGCATCGTCCGCGGTGAGGACAAGGGCCAGACCCAGCTGGCCACCATGGAGGCGGCGCAGGTAGTACCGGCGAATGCTCGTCTTCCATCGAGGTCTCATGAGGCCCTCTAGCTTGGTGCGTGCGGCGTCGAGATGCTTTGGGCGCACCCGATCGACATTCATCTGGCAACGTCGTCGATCACGGGCTGGCCACAGATTGCGGTCGAGGTCTGGCACATTGACGCGCACGACCGCAAGGAGCTATGTACGCGTCATCTCTAGTAGTATTGTGTACTAGTAGCATCATGTCGCTCGTGCTAGGCGGATATGGCACCTGCCGCGTGCCCACGACGACAGGCTGCATCTCGGTCGAATGTCCGACGTGGCGGCCCATCGGCAACGCCAGCTCCATCACAGATCGTCTATGCACCATGTTCTTTGGCGCCCCCCGCCTCGTGGACCCCTCGATCGTGCATACGGGAGGTTCGAGTCGCTACGATCTCTGCACCGAGACGACAGGCTACGTCGTGCTCGAATTGCAGGTGCTACTGAGCGGCTGGACACGACAGACAACGTTCGGCGCTTTGTAAACCACGTAACTTAAATCGCTCACGACTCATTTGAACTGCACGAGATGCTAGCGATGATCAAATCGTGGATCATACTTTACTGCGCCACTAATGCACACATCTGCATGAGACAACGACCTTCAACACGTAGAGATGACGTACGGTGCTGGGCGCAAAATGCCTGGAGCTGAGGCACAACGCGGGCAGAGAGCGTCGGGAATACGTATGTGATCATGCAGTAGACAGGCACCTTCTTCTCGACCTTGCAAAGCGCAATGCCCTCGCCTTCTTCCTTGGCCGGGTCGCCCTTGCGCCCATAGATGAGCGGCGGGTGGAAGCGATGGACGTCATATTGCTCGTTGAGAAAGACGATACCCGTGCCCATCGTCGTGTCACGGTCGTCGTAGAGACGCAAGTACGCGCTACGGGCAGACCATGAGCCTTCACCTGCACTGGCATGCACGGGCTACCTGATCTCGCCATCAAGCGGCTTCACGGTACCAGCGATGAAGTTGCCTTCGTGGTCGAACACGATCGCCTTCGTCCACTCCTTCTGCGCCTTCATGGCGTCGACGAGGCCGACCACATCCGTCTCGGGCGGGACTGCTGCCATCTTGGGGTCCAAAATGAAAACACGTGAAACGCCCATTGGCCAAAATAAGAGCGTAAAAGTGGTGAAAATACCGTTCTTTTCAACATTTCCCGGAAATCATGCTCGACCGACAAGGTGCCGAGAAGAGCGCTGGCGAAGTCGACTGCCCGAAGCGATGGGTACGTTCTTCCTCGTCGTCGACCGTGTTGCACATAGAAGCGCGTGGCTACCTGCGATCTTGGCTCTTTGCCAGCGATAAGGCCCGCGTGAGGATGGAAGGGTCCGTCCAGCTGGGCGCTGTCGCTTGCGCCACCGTCTTCGCGTACCGAACTGGCGTCGGAAGTACCAGAGCGAGGCGCTACATCGGTGCTCGAAATGCAGACGATGGCAGGCAAGCACAGGCATCTCGATTCGTATTCTCGACAGAAGGCCGAGTAGGTGGGCACCTGGGCATTTTCATCGCAGCTTGCCGTATCAGCGCATGGCGCCGGAGGGTAGACGCAAGGCATATCTTCATGCAACAACAATCGGATAGCTTACATTGATCAGAGAGTTACTACGGCGCAAACCGTGGCCGGCTATCTCTGTTCGACGCGAGCTTTAATCACGCTTGATGGTGTAGCAGGCAGCGCCAATGCCAACGACACCGGCCGCGGCCAAAAGGCCCTGGCTCGACTGCGCGGCCTGGGACACCGTGAGCATCTCGGGTTTCTGGCTCCAGACCTATCCATGCCATGAGCCACATATTCGAGAGACGACAAGGATATCGTACGGCGCCACGGATCGCGTTGAGCGAGTGGTACGTCACGGGGAAAGCGACGCAGAACTTGGAGAGGGGCGCGAAGAACGGGATGATGTCCTGGGCGGCGTAGATCAAGGCCGGGACGTCAGCGCCGACGAGCGAGACAAAGGCCGCCGAGGCGAAGCCGCCCGTCAAGGCGACGCCGGTCGCACGGTTCGTGATGGACGCGATGGCCGTGACCGGGAACGCGTAGATTTCGACGTGCGGCGAGACGGGGCGACCGAGCTTCGCCTGGCGCTCCGTGTAGGAGACCAAGCGGACGTGGGCCGGCGCCTGCGTCTTGACGGCCTTGGCCAGCGCCTTGGTGGTTTGGAGCATCATTTTCGTCTACGTCGCCTCTTTCTGTCTCCCCCAAATGCTTTGGAACTCCGACGAATGTTTCGATTAACCGGATAGCGATCGTCCGGATACGCGTCGTCAGTGGTGGAAACCCCCGTACATGCGTGTGTGCGTCACGCTAACACGATTTCGATTGCCTTCATCGCAAATGGTGTGCGACTTGTGACCCCACAAGCGGGTCCAAGCTTCTAAGCTAAAGGAGCTATTTCTTGCCAGCGCCAAGAAAAGCGGCCGTAGCATAATTGCAGACCTACTAAATCTTGCTCTACCCAAGACGTCACAACCACCCACGTACACTGGTGCGGAAGTCCTGTTGACGGCAAGGTCAAGCGCGCAAAAAGAATGTTGGTGGGTCGCTGCCAAATCAATGCACGGGAGCAAGGTCCCTCGCGACGGAGACAAGCAGTCGCAGCCCGTCCACTGGGAAGGGCGATTAGATGAGATCGAAATTGGAGACTCCGCACTCCAGTGCCATTGTCTGCAGTGGAGCGCTCGAGATGGCTCTAACGTTCGAATTGATAGATCATCCTGGGTTGAGGTAGCATGCACTCTTGTCCTCATGTCACCGTGGTTGTGGACTGGTGGCACGTGGCTTTCAAGTCACTTGAGATGTAAGCTTTGCAGACGAAGTGCCAAGCGCGGACTGGAAAGCGTCGCTACCACTGCTGTCGGTACTAGAAGTGTTCCATCCGCTACCAGAGTTTGGGTAGTCATTCTCGTTGTCTGTGACTGCCTGCGTTTCGTTTCGTGTATTCAAGTTTCTCCGCATTCCGAGTACCCTTTGTGGCAATGAGACCAAGCGTATACATATAGAGGCTGTAGTGGTGGTGTGCAAGCAGCGTGCAATGAGTACGTACCTCAGACTTGCCTCGTGTTGCCAAGCCGAGCTCTTCCTTCTCAACGAAGCCTTTGTATGCACAGAGACTTGCTACAGATGCTGCTTGTGTTCACCGAGCCGTTCGAGACGCTTGCGGCTCCAGTTGAGGTGCAAGAGCAGGTCCTTTCACTCCCAAGCATCGCAACGCTTGAGAAAACCAACGTCTGGACTCGGTAAGGAACCTTTTGCGACTACAGTAGTGTCCACTGGAAGTCGTGGTGCAAGGCGAATATCAAATGCGTGAGCTTGTCGCACATAAGATGGCATCAATTCCACCATCATACCAAGGGCATAGAACCCGGATTGTTCTTACACCCTTGATCGTCCTGTGGCCCATGGATAGAAAAGCCTTGCTTCTTGTGGGAACATGATATACCTTCCACACCAACGACACAACGCGCCGTGCCAATTGGGCTCGAATGTGCAGCAGTACTGATGGGTTTGGTCGAATTGCACACAGACATTTTGTGCCTTTGAGATGCTTAGGGTTCATGTTACACACCGCCGACGAAGTCGTGCTGTCGCCACGCTTCGTAGCTTATGATAGACACCGAGTTGGCGAGGTTCATGCTCCGCGCGCCTGCCATCATCGGAATGCGAATGCGGTGCTCGGCCGGAATGTTGTTGCGGATGTCGTCCGGGAGCCCCGTCGTCTCGGAGCCAAAGAGCAGAACGTCGCCTGGCTGGTACGCAATGTCCGTGTACGGTCGGCTACCTTTGGTCGTACACGCCAAGAGGCGGTGTCCGGTCACGGCGGCGCTAAACGCTTCAAAGTCCTTGTGGCGCCGAATGGTGGCCATGTCGTGGTAGTCGAGACCCGCGCGCCGCACGCTCTTCTCGTCGAGGCTAAAGCCGAACGGTTCGATGAGGTGCAAGATGCAGCCGTTGTTGGCCGCAAGCCGGATGATATTGCCGCAGTTGGGCGGAATCCGCGGCTGGAAGAGCGCGAGCTGGAACATCGCGGCCGACACCACTCGAAGCAAAAGTACACTCAATGCCCATTGGTGGCAATTGGACCAATCAAACGTCCGTATTTGAATTTGGCAACCTCAGAGAAGTCGGTCGCATTTGAGGTCATCACAACGACTTTGAACCGCTTCCACCTTTTACTCTAAAGTGCAGAATGGGTTGATACATTATGATTTACTTGTGCTGATGGAGCAGCCGCTTGAGACCCGTGGGGTCGGCGCCCGTCATCGTATCAATCTTCTTGCCGTTGCGATAGAACTGGAACGTCGGCATCGCTCGGATACCGACGGCCGCCGACAGCTCGTCGCTCTCGTCGACGTCGACTTCGATGAACGCTGCTTCCGGGAGGTCCTTGGCAAAGTCACGGAAGATGGGTTTGATGTACTGGCACGGTGGGCACCACACGGCGCT